TATCTTTTAGTTTTTTTTTTTTTTTTCATTTTGTGATGTCTTTAGAATTGTAGAAGAGGAAGTTTTTTAATAATAATGTTTTTCCTATAAAACTGTGTATCACAAATTTTAATCATGTATGAGGTTTTTTTTTTTTTTTTTTCATGTAATGATTTTTGAACTTGTAGAATAGGAAATTATTAAATTAAGTTTTTTCTAGATATATACTGTGTATTAACAGTGTATTTATTATATATCGACTATGTATTGCATTTTCTAAATTAAGTTACAAAGATTTCAAATATCTATAAATTATTTTTGTTCATTTTGTGACATTTTTTAAACTTGTATACGAGGAGATTTTTTTAATTATGACTTTTTTCGTTATAAAAACTATTTATTAACTATGTATCGACTTTATATTCCATTCATATATTTTTCAGATACACATTATGTATTGACTGTGTAATACATTTTCTAAATTAGGTTACACAAATTTCGAATGTCTTGGTTTCTGATTCAGTTTGTGATGTTTTTTGAACTTGTAGAGGAAGAAATTTTTTTAATTATGATATTTTTCCTGATAAAAGCTGTTTATTTGTGTATCGACTTTGCATTTCATTTCTGTGTTGGGTTTAATAGATTTCAATAGTGTATAAGTTCTTTTTTTTTTTTTTTCATTTTTTCATGATCATTGAACTTGTATAGTATAATTTTTTTTCTTGATGCATACTATGTATTGATTGTCTGTCGACTGTATAATTCATTTTCTAAATTAGTTGGCACATATTTCAAATGTCTATGAGATGTTTTTGTTCATTTAGTAATGTTTTTTTGAAGCTGTGAGCGTCCAAACGTACGTCAAACCGATTGCCCTTTGCACTTTTTAAACAGTGCAACGAATGTGCTTCTAATTGGCGCCTTGGAGGGTCACGACAGCTGCAAAAAAGTGACAAGTAAATACCCTAATCCTAAAAACCCTAAGTGTAAACTCTAAAAACTATTTTGAGAGAAACACCAAAAAAGTATATCTTTAAAGATGAAATGAACAAGAATGGCTGTCTAACATTGTTTGAAGATAATGAACTTAAGGTGATAAAAAAGTGCATGAATGAGGATTATGCTTGTTCGAAGATGAATAGTGAACTGACTCTAATGCTTGTTCGAAAATGAAAAGTGAATTCAAAGATGAAAAGTGAACCGACACCATAACTTTTGATCTGCGACGAATTCAAAAATTTTACCTTTGGACCGACCAGGTCGTCATGTCACGAGTATTAAAAATACATATTAAATATTCACGTGTACAATTCAATAGTCACAAGTTCATTAGCTTCCGGATGCGAGCTACGTTCGGACTCCGCAAGTAATTTTATTATATTTTTTTATACATCAATTATAATTTTTTGGCACGTACAATTTATTTGGGACAATTTCCTTATTGATTTACTTTTAAGATTGCAACCTCAATTTCTATTTTGTTATTATTTCTTTGTTGCTTTCAAAAATTTTCTATGCTACAAAGTTATTTTTTACAATAGTTAAAAAAAATTACTTTCCTCCTCACAATAGTTTTACAAATATTTACACAAAAATCTACAACTATCCAAATAGATTCTTAAACAGCCTCAAACAAACCCTTCGACTATAATCTCTCCCACCTCTGTCGCTTGACTGCGGCCCCTTCGATGATCATTATTAGACTACAATCTTTCATATTTCAGTCGCATGACTATAATCCCTTAGACTTTCATCGTCTGACTATGGTCCCTCTTACCTCAGTCACTCGCTATGTTCCCTCCAACCACCTGCTCTTGATCCCTTCAGCCTTTGTCACTTGATTACGGAAGGGGGTCAAAATAAATCAGAGAACCATCCCAACAAATCAAAGAGTTTAACCTCCCTTGAAACCTCTCTTGCTGGTTTATCCACTAGTGCTCTGCCTCGCTATCTAATAAATGGACTGCTAATAGTACCTTACTCTCTGGAGGACATTGCATACCATCAAAGGTCTTCTCTAGCCTCCTCAATCAATCTTCTACTGCTTTGGGTTGAACAATACCATCGAACCTCAGAGGCTTCAATCTCAAAAACATCTGTAGATGTATGTATACATCATCAGTTCTCATAGTAGGAACCCTGGTTATGCCTCACCCATCATTTGGGTTATCAAAGTAGCAAACTGTAAAAATGTATCTGAATCAATTATCAGAGTAGTACTATATAAAGGAGCTGCCTAACTAGTACTCTACCCATCTATCATGTCTAGGTCTGACAAATCCATTATCACACAAAATATGCAATTAAATATTCATACAAATGAAACAAAAATGATGAACACCTAAACAGACTTGAAACCACCCCACTAGACTTACAGATTAATTTATATATCTCTATTTTACGATCCAAATATAAAACTATAGCTCTAATACCACAAAAGTTTTCACAAATATACACGGCTTCGAGAGAGCCATGCTGCAGCATGTGAGGGTTTCTTTTGGGGGATTTACAGATGTGTTTGACTACCGCACTTGGTCGTAAGCGGACGGTGGAGTGTAGAAGGGATGAGCTTATGGATTAGGCTTATATGCTTATGCATACGAGGGACAATCCTCTTCTGCTACCAGCTACTCCGCAGATAGCCAAGAGAGTTTATATAGCCAACAGGAGACTAACTTGATAGCGGAGTTAGAAAATGCCCAAAAAATACAGGCATACATAAGCTTTTAAATACTAGATGAGCTTAGGAGATTGAGAGATTAGATTGAAAGAAATCAACCTGCACCTATATCGGCCGAGGATGAGAGCAAGGATATAGATTCCACCTAGAGTATTTGTAAAAATATTTTTGAAGCATTTTATTTCTTTTAATGTATAAAAACTATTGAAACTTTAGCAATGTATTATGAAAAAAACCCTAAATTCACTCTGATTCGGCTATTCCCAATTCTGTAAGCTGTAACCCTCTTCGTTCCTTCCTCTTTAGTCCCGAGCTCGACAACCGAACATGAAGCTCCCGTTTAGTCGTTCCTTCCTTTCATCTTTACATCCTCTTTAATCGTGAGCTCGGTAAGTGAATGCGAAGCTTCCATTTGATCGTTCTTTCCTCTCTGCTCAACATCCTCTTTAGTTGTGAGCTCGGCAATTGGTATACTTCTGAGAGCTTTTGCTCTTCCTTTTGTTTTTCTAGCTTCCTTTTTTTAACCAATGAGTTAAGAAATGTTGAGCAATGAGCACTATGTTACAGATGAAGTAAAGCTTCGTGATTGAATAGAGAGGACGGAACGAAGAGGTGAGGTTTTGACACGCAGTTTTGACATGCAATTTCGCTCTTCTTGTTGTTTCACTTTTGTCACTCTTCTTATACAATTTTAATTGCAGTTTCGACACGCAATGTTACAGATCTGCAGATAGGCGTCAAGGTGAGGTTTTGATTTTATAAATGCTATTATTTTTTATATTGGTTTACTGTAGAAAACTATTTGACTTACATTCTATATCTATTAAGTGCTGCATAAGTTATTTTATTTGTCTATTTAGTAACTAGTGCAGGAACCGAGAGCCACGGGATGGCTGAAGCACGTCGTGGAGGAACATGGAGTCGCAAGGTGTGTCGTTTGGTAGTGTTGTTATAATAGATTTTGACCTGCTAAGATTAATTTTGTGTTTACTGAAATTAGATTTTAGTTTGCTGAAATCAAATATCTTAATTGTTAAAATTGATATTCATATTTGTTGAATTTAAGATTTTTGCATTTTGCATGTGTCATATTACTCTATTAATTTTATTAATTTTTTTATAATATTATTATTTATTATGTCATCTAATTTGATCCCAATTTAATTGATCGAATCATGAATTCCTTCAAATCCGATTTTCACAACCTTGCTCTTTACTGTCAATATTGTCAATATAATTTGATATAATTCACAAAAAATTTTAAATCCAACAAAAACTTTTCAAATAACTTGAATACCATCTAAAAAATTAGGTCAATTTTGAGTAAAATCTAGAGATAAAAATATAGCATTAAATTCATATGTCTAAATTACTACTATCAAATATACTACAATTAATTGCGCTCAAATAAAGATTGGTATCAATTTAAACTCAAAAAAAACAAAAAAAACAAAGAACTACTATCATATTAAAACTCGGCTTAAATTCTATAAAAAAGTACATGAATTAAAAAAGCGTATAAATAATAAGCCCAACGGTATCGACTTTGGTTTATTTACTACTAATCTTCATAAACTTCAACATCACAATATCATTTCATCACTTATGCTTCGTTTAGGACAGCTTTCTTACTACTTCTTATAAAGAAGTTTTTTAGTTCAAAAATTAAAATTTTAATACTAAAAAGCCACTTTAAGAAGCAGTAAGAAAGCCGTCTCAAACGAAACCTTAGGATTTATTTGAGACGGCTTTTTGTTGCTTCTTAAAGCAGCTTTCTAGTACAAAATTTAAAATTTTTATACTGAAAAACTGTTTTAAGAAGCAACAAAAAAGCCATCCCTTAGGCTTCGTTTGGAACTATTTTTTGAAGCAGCTCTCTAATATAATTTTTTTTTTAGTTTGTATTAGAAAATTGCTTCATAAAACAGTAAGAAAATTATCCCAAACAAAATCTTAATTAACCTGCTAATGATATAAAATCATTTCCAAGCACAGTATACTGAATTTGAGTGGCAACAACAGAAGCAGCAACAATATACATTATTGAAACAAACATGATTATAAGAGGCTAATGCGACTTATGCATTGCCCACACTCATCTTTCCGTTTTTTTTTTTAACATTTCTTTGAATCCAACAATAATCACAAGTCCATCTGTTGTATAGAATTCAGACTTGTCACCATTCCAAACTTTTTTGGAATCTGAGACAAAACAATAAGGATCATACACATATATGCCAATGTGGTGCTCTTCAGCACTCTCCCATCAATGTCGCTTCCTCCGTTGCTCTTCCACAGCTTCAGAGAGAGATTAAACAGCCAAAAACCACTTCAGTTTGCGAACGTCAGAATCTGATGTTCAAATAAATAAAAACCCGCAACAAAGCAGTTCATCCCAACTCCCAGTGCGCTTTACTGGAAGGATCAAATTGCTAACTATAACAGGTGGTGCTTCAACTCATAGGGACAATGAGCTTCTGTAATTGCTTAAGGTGTGGCAACAGCTGTGCAAATGAGGGGCGCAGATTGGGATCACTGCAAGAGAAACAATAGCAACAAATTTTTCATTCAACAAGTGCTTTAATCATTACATTCTTGTAAAACATTACGAAGAGATGATAAGAACAGGAGCAGCTTATGGAAAAATTCTAAAAATGGCCATCCTATAGTAAATACTCAAAATGGTCCTTAGAATTGTTAGGTGTGTTTATTTTAGGCTTTGTTTGGGTAAGAAAGACTTTCTTACCGTTTTATTCTTACCGCTTCTTAAAAAAACTTTTTAGTACAAAACTTTAAATTTTTATACTAAAAAACTGCTTTAAGAAGTAGTAAAAAAGCCTTCCCAAATAAAGTCTTAATCACCTACTTTTCTAAGTGTTCAATTTAATCCCTAACTTATCCAAATTTGTAGCAATTTAATCCCACCATCAACTTCACCAATTTTTTTTGGAAAGAAATTGGTGAAGGGTTTTTTCATCAGGACACTTTGGATTTTTTAGAGTTAACCTCAAATTCTCATTATTACTTAGTATCAGTTCAAGAATTATTCCTAGAAGTCCAATATGTGCTGGAAAATTTCTCTACTAATAGATTTACTATATTCTACCAATTACTGATTTTCATGTAAATGGGAATGAAATCTTACATTATTTACTGCTTTCTACTTCGCCCTTTTTTTTTCATTTCTACTTTCCCTTAAGACTTATTTATTGGTTTTTATTCAAGGTCCAATAATTGGGGCTATATATCTCCCATAAAATTTGCATATCTTTCTCATTGGAATAAAAAAACAAGGCTTCTCTTTTAGATATATAAATATATATAACATGATTAATCACATTATTATCTTCTTCTTGTTGATCTTATTTGTATGAATCTAATGCATGCCAAGCATTGTGATGTAAAGGCGGCTATAAAAATCAGGTCACAGGCCAGGTTCGGGTCCAACCCGGAACTGACCCGACACTGTTCGACCTGACCCCGTTTTTGCAAATGGGTCGGTTTCCTGAACCCAAACCCAACCCGCTTCAGGCATGTTTTACGAACAAAGTTTTATTTAAACCTAAATCAAATTAAGGTAAGATTTACTTCAATCAATTAAAAATAAACTAAGCTTAATTTAATTTGGGTAATATTGTTTATTATTTTTGGAAATAACATTTACTTATTCGTAAAAATCTTTTAAAACCCTCCTAAATTAATTAAAAATGACTCAAACCGGGTTGATTTCGGATTTTTGGGTCAACCCGAACCTGACCCGATTTTACAAACGGGTCGAAATCCCTAACCCCATGTTGGCCATTAAAAGAGAAGCATAATACTAAGTTAAGTGTTGCAGAGATGAGGATGCTTAGGTGGATGAGTGGCTTGACCCTTAGAGATAGGATACGAAATGAGCATATACGTGAAAATGTTGGAGTAGCTCTAGTGAAAGATAAGATTAGAGAGAGTCGCCTTAGATGGTTTGGTCACATTAAACGGAGGCCTTCCGATGACCCGGTAAGGAAAGTTGAGGTATTAGATTTGACTTATGTTAAGAAAGGTAGAGGTAGACCTAAAAAGACTTGGTTAAAAATATTAGAAATGATCTTTGTTTATTAGATTTAAATGAGAATTTGACTTTTAACCGAACACAATGGAGAAAAAGGATTCATGTAGCAGACCTCACGTAGTGGGACAAAGGCTTGATGTAGTTGTTGTTATTGTTGTTATCAAAATCCCTAACCCTAACCCGAAATTTTTGTGTAGGGTTCGGATTGGATTTTTGGGTCGGGTCAAATATTGACATCCCTAAAGGCGAGCATGCATGTCTATCGCGTCTTCGAACTTGCAATTTCGGGCCTTTGTTGTTTAATAAGTATGCCAAGTCATGGATTTGTAATTTGCATATAATCAGGTACATGAAAAATCCATGCCTATGGTTCAAATTTCAGGTCAATAAAATACATACCTTTCCCAACAGTCGGTAATTATTTTTGAGACCAAAGGATCAACCTCTTGGGGTATGTCAAGACGTTTATTTTGATAACCCACTGCTCCAACAACTTGCATCGGGTTCATTCCACTCCACGGCATGCACATGGTAGCCAATTCCCACAAAATTACACCAAAACTATAGACATCACACCTGAAAAACATTTTTTTTTATTACCAGGAAGATAAAGACATTTCAAATAAAAATTGTGAGCCCAAATTAGAATAAAGCTAACCCAAAACCTACTTTTCATTGGAAGGTTCATTTCGCAAGACCTCTGGTGCCATCCACTCTGGCTGTAAATTAGAGAATTAGAAGCCATCATATAAATCGCATAAAAAGTTTTCTAAAAATACTAAGATACTTCAAAGATATTATTTCTATGCGTTGAATTTTAAAAAGATATACATGCAGAAAAAGGTAACCTTCGCCAAAAACAGATAGATTGCCTCCTTATAAACAATTAACTGGTTGAAATTATTCAAATGACACATCTCAATAAAAGAAATAATTTTTCTTCATCGATATATTCCTACCCCACAGTAAAAAACTCGTGTTACCAGATATGCCTATCTTTATAGATATGAAGAACAATATAACAAACACAACAGGATCAAAGTGAGAATCTAATACATAAATTTGGATAATATTATTTCCAAAACCAGGATGTCACAAACTTTTCTGAAATTGTGAAAGTTTTGCTTCAAACATTGATAATTTTAGTTTAAAAAAAAAAACTGAGACAGCTCCTCAGAAATGATCAAAATCACATTTCAATTCGACAATTTTAATATTTCCTTTAGATGCATCGCATAACTTACGGAATATTATGTGATCATGCACCCAGTATAGTATATAGACAGTTTTGCTTGATGATGCCGCACACTTGTGCTGTGCTGTAGAAATAAAGTCACCTTTATCCTTACAAGACAGATTAAGGGTTTGTTTTGGATGGCTTTCTTATTGCTTCTTAAAATAGTTTTTAGTACCAAAATTAAAATTTTTGCACTAGAAAACTGCTTTAAGAAGCAGCAAGAAAGCCGTCCCAAACGAAGCCTAAATACTTCATCAGTACGTTTACAATAGTTGTGAGGTTAATGGAGGGGGCGTACATCAAGAACCAGAGTGTTTCACACATATATCAACATTGATTTGAAAAGATAACGCAAAATAAGAACACTCCAAAACATCTATGAAATTTGATAATTATAACCGCTCTCCAAAATGTTATGAGCTTAATTTTCATAATCATCAACATATGTCTCTGCCAATGGATGCCTCCCAAGGCACCAATTGTTTGGAAAGTATATTAAACCAAGTCTATATACATGCAGCTTTCCCTTGTACTCCACGGCAGGCATTTGAATCAAAAAAGCTCTGACAGTGATGTTATAAAATTTTCACAAAATAGGATCTTTTAGTCTTAAGCCAAATGATTAAGTAACAAGAAAATCAATAAGCTTTTGGATGCAGATCATTGTTAGTAGAAACTAGAATCCAAGACATTAAGAGTAGATTCTGGAAATATAACATCATAATAAAAGGTATAGAAAATTACAGTTCCAGCAGTTGATTTCGAAGACAAGAACGTGTGGTGCTTCAATCTAGACAAGCCAAAATCACAAACCTGAAAAAAATGTATAATGAGAACTCTATTCTGGAAAGGAGCAAGCAAGCTAAAAAAATGCATAAATGCACAAAAAATGTAGCAAGCTTGATGACGCAACCCTGGCATAGAATGCATAAATTATTTGGAACATATCCAACAACTGGATTAGAGTGAATTTGAATTTCAATTGATTATGCAACAATATCTAGAGCATTATATTGAGAAGAACCCTCTATTAATCAATCCATTATACTACTTAGCTGGGGCCTGCATGAGAATTATGTGGGAGTTGGTTACTAATTAGCTTTGATCCACTTCTCTAGTAGTAGAAGACAAGAGAACTAAACATTTTTAATAAGCTTATCATGGAAACATCTTATATGAGGCTGCCATTTCAACAACAATTGAAGAAATACAATTTTGTTTCAGCAATAACTGAGGCACATGATAGATGAAATAAATTTTTGCACTACAGCATCACTATTAGGAGAGCATTAGTCTTCCCCTAAATCATGCAAATTTTAATACCTGACCACCAAACTAAGGCTGGTTTCACAAATCTTTCACCATCCACAGATGTCAAGAGCTGCAGTTGGTGTTCATTCTATTTCAGGGACTCTTCTTTTTTTTTTTTTCACAACAAAAGTCATCTTTTGATTTCCTGCCTAGCCTTACAAACACACCGTGAACTATTTGTGTCATCTACCATAACTCCTTTGTTTAAACCCCCGGGAATAACACAATGAAACACAATGCCCCCCCCCCCCCCCCTGCTCATCCTCATTACACAGCAATTTGAACACTTGAATTAACCCATCATTTACCTATAAGGAATGTGACCCAATCATATTTGTGCAATCATTTATACACTTTCAAAATCAGACATCTTCAACATCCAATAACCTCCAAAAAAAAATCTCAAAACAAATCACTGGAATAGGGCGCTGAAACAAGTTTGAAGCCTACGTTCTTATACACTTCAGGCGCTCCCATTACCTTAAACATTAGTCATACCCTCCATCATCAAACCAAAGCCTAGCAAAAAACATTTACATTACAAGAATGGCACTTTTATTTTGAACTATAATATCCATCAACTCCAAACACTATAAGTCTAAACAGCAAATATGAGAATCGTTAATAATTTTAGAAAACATTGTAAGTTTAATAGTGACCAGAACATACCTTAACAACCCAATTTCTATCTACAAGAAGGTTTGGGGACTTCAAATCACGGTGTACAATAGTGGGATGGCTTGTATGCAAGTAATTCATTCCTTTTGCCTAAAAAGCAAATTCAGATCAGGTCAAAGTGGATAACAATCTATTCCAAAATCAAAATAGTACTCATACGAACTGCTTACCACATCCAATGCCATCTTCATCCGCCGCTTTTCTTCAAGTTTCACATTGTGACGATGAAGTAATCTATATAAACTTCCCCTGGAGACAAACAGGCAGAGCCTTTTAGAATAACGCTAAATCCCAAAGAAGCAGAAAATAGATGCAAATTATGTAAAGTTCCCAGAAAAGGCACCAGTTGTAGTGTCAATTGGTAAGGTAACTTAAGGCAGATCTTACCATTAGCGGCTTGGGCAACATTGCCATCTGCCTTTATAGAGCAGGTGAGAGATCAAATCGCCTCAAAAAAAATAATAGGTCTCTTTCCATGACATTATTCATGAGCTAATATATATTTATTATATATTATGTCGTCCATTATCATGCAGAACAAATGCAAAATTCTAAACAGAAAGCAAAATATTCAATTCTAAGGACAAGAAGCAGTCATCCAATTATCTTGTCATAAAATTAGTAGTACAATAGTTTTCAGAACCTTTTAACATTCTTTAATTTTATAATATATGATTTAATTCAACTAGAGAAATACAACTACAGCAACTGGAAATTTAAACTTAGCAGACCTTGGGAGAAACTCCGTCAAAATAGAGAGGTTTGGTGGACGTGTGACAGCACCCATAAAAAGAACCACATTTGGATGTCGTAGCCTTAACATGATTCTGACCTATGAGATTCACAAGAAAAAATGTCGAGTTGAGCTTGAAACCAAGAATGTTTGCTCTAAACAGGGAGATGTCAAAGGTGTGCCTTAAACAAGTGCTAATCTGACTGCACAATTCAATTCTTACTTCGAATCTGAACAGCTCCAATGCATCTCCTGATAGATCCTGGTCCAAGAATTTCTTCACAGCAACATCCTATTGATAGAATATCCAAAGAGAAGTTAAGTAAGCATAACACAAAAAAAGAGTTCATCTGATGATTTTAGTTTAATTTTTTTAATAGGAGAAAACCATTTTACAAGAAAAACCTGAACCAAAGATAACCCAGAGCATTCACATTTCATCAAGATGTTCCTATGAACCTCATTGTTGATACACAAAGAAACAATGTAGTCTTCTGTCATAAAATAGAATTGGCTCAAAATCATTCACCCTAACTAAGCAATTTACTCCATTTCACAATATCAGTTTTTTTTTTTAAGATTTAAAAGAGTATCATTTAAGATTTAAAAGAGCATCATCTAATAAGAGAGATAAAAGTAACTAAATTTTATAAAGGATAAAACCTAAATAAATCTTGCATTCAAGTGAACTACATAGAGATTTGTATGACTGATTCATGCCTTGTATAGGTAGGTTTGTCTATAAAAGATGCTCAAACCATCTAAGTGTGTTAGATTGAACTCCCCTATACACAACAACCCGAGGGAACCCTCAATTTGACCGCACTCACTTGAAAGGTGGAAACCAACCTAAACTGATGAATCTGGATTAACACATCAATTTAGATGATCAGTTCAAAAAAAAATATGGTTCAGTCAGACGCCAGTATATCAGAACGTAACAGGTTGAATTGGTATATACACTAAGTATTAAATATGATCGGAGTATTGTGATAAGTTACGTTCTACATTTGCAGTTTTAGTGGAGAATAAGTGGTCAAGATTGCAGATGTACGCCTCAGAAACAGAGGTAATAGCAGTGCCTCAGCAACATGTTTAGTAATCTTCAATTGCTTTTTCGTAGTTTAAAGACTCGAGTATAATTCTAAATACAGCTAAGGCCTTAAGAAGTAAACTAAAATGTTCAGGATAAATAAGCATTCATTAAATTTAGAACATACAGAAACCCAAGCTATAAAGAATTGAAATTTTATCATCACAATATCGTTTAAGAGTGTAGGAACTCACAGTGCCATTCCAATCAGCACGATATACCTCCCCATAAGAACCTGCAATACATCAACAAAGGCTTTACAATGAGAATTGTTGCTGTTTAATGTACTGATAATCTTTACAATAGCAACCTGTTTAAAGTTGTTATAAGAAACATGTTAAATATCATACATTCATAAGCTTCTCAACTGTCATTTGGAAATGTAATTTGGTGTTAATTCAGAATGTCATTCATTCTACACAAGTACAAGATAAGAAATCAAGCATGAGGATTTTTAGAGATTAACAAATTGATTAAATAAATAAATCCTTACAACAATACGGAATTCTTAACTGTTAGCAGTAAAGAAGGAACAACAAATTTTTTTACTCAACTTCTGCTAAACTGGTCCAGCTGGTCCCGGCGGAACAGAGGCGAAACTCTCCGCCTCTCCTGTACATCGCTCGGACCGCAGGAGTAAAACAAAAAGCAGTTTAGGAAGGATTTTTGAGGGAGATAGGAGGGAAATTTGAATGTAGGGACTGTTTAGATATTTCCTTTTGGGCATTAAATAGTTTGTTTTCCTAAGGTTAGAACATCTTGAATTTGGCTGAAATTTGAGATCTCTTATATTTATGTTTTCTTTTGGACTCTAACGGCGTCTAGAGATTTGGGAGAGATAGATCCTCCCCTCGAATAGAGGATCAATTGTATCTTGCTATTTTTTGTTTTCTTTTCATCAAATAATACAAATTATCTACTGTTTTCGTGGTTTTGTGCGGAATTTTGTGGAGAATTCTTGCTGTTTTTCAAAGATTAATAGGAAATACTTGAGATCTATAAGTGTTTTCTATTAAATTGGTATCAGAGAAATTTCCTGGCCATAAATTGAAACCTCCTCGCTAATTTCTGCTATGTTGCACTCTCCGAGCTGCTGCTTTTTGCTGTTTGAAGACTAGAAACGGCTGTTTTTTTGGCCGTTTTTGCTATTTGGAGCTTAGATCCAGGTACTGATGGCAGGGAAAAGGTAGAATTGTTGGAAGGGGAGATCAAACAATTGAAAACTAAAATTTCAGATCTCTACACTCAACTTTAAGATGTCAAAAGTCAAATTTCAACCATCCACGAGAAGATGAATGGGAATTTTTCCAGCCTTGGCAAGATGATGAAGAAGTTGCTTGAGAGTCAATCCACAACAACATCGTCAGAGGCGAGGGAAGCTTCCGACAACCCAAGAAGCGGGGAAAAATCTAATCCAATAAAGAAAAGAGGAGACCAGGAGGTGGAGACTCAAAAGGGAAAAAATGGAATGCCTCTCCTAGAGGTTGTTCCTACGGAGGAGCCGGGTAGAGGGTATTGGGAGAAACATGAGGAGGTGGAGCATGAACAAAGGGGTGCTGAATTTGAGAGGAGAGGTGTAGAATTCAAAAGGGAAAGGGGTGATTATGATCGAAGGGGGCCTGGAATTGAAAGGAGAGGGATTTATTATAATCCAAGGGATGCTGAATTTGAAAGAAGACTAGGAATTTGATGAAAATCTTGGGTATGAGTGTAGAAGGGATGATTGGGACAGTTGGAGAGAACCACCTCCATGGGGAAGGAGAGATTATGGAGGGAACAGAGGGAACAAAGACGATATGAGGGTGAGGAAGCTGAAGATGCCTATTTTTGAGGAAGAGGATGTCCATGGGTGGATCTACAAGGTGGAAATGTATTTTACCATCAACAAGTTGATGGAGGGGGAGAGAGTGATGGCAGCTGGGATGTGCTTGGAAAGGAAAGCTTTAATATGGTACCAGTGGAGGGATGCAAGGAGACCAATAAGGACCAAGAGGGAGTTTAAGGACTGTCTGTTGGAACGTTTCCAAACCAGCAGGGGAGGGAACTTTTACGAGTAGTTCTTCGCTTTGATGCAGGAGGGAACAATGATGAAGTACTGTGAGCAATTTGAGCACCTTGTCAGTCGATTGGATCGACTTCTAGAGACTGTACTAGAGGGAAACTTTAAGAAGGGACTGAAACCAAAGATCCGCACAGCAGTCAGAGTGACGACACCTTGGAACTTGGGAGAGTCTATGCAACTAGCTCAGTTGGCAGAGGATCAGAGGCACCGGAAAAAAAAAGAGCAAGAGGCAGCAGTTCAGGAGGCTCGTACAGGATAATCACCATCTTTTTCACACCCAAGTAGCCAACACTAGATACTCTTAGGGAGACATCAAAGGAGAAGACTGCCGAAGGAAGACCTGGGGACAATTTCAAGAAGCTCATAGAAACAGAATTATAGGAGAAGAGGGCGAAGGGGATCTGTTTCAGATGTGGCGAGAGGTATATGCCGGGGCACAGGTGTAAGGACCGAACGCTTCAGGTTCTTACCGTTTGTGTTGAAGAAGGAATGGAGAGTGTCATCTTTCCACCTCGCGGACAAGGTGGATCTTTGGAAGGGGAGTATATTTAGACCGATCCAGCTGGTTCCACGAGACCGGCTGTTGTGGAACAATATCAGAATTGCAAGGAGACGCAATAAGACAACTGAGTAAGCACGCCAATATAAGGATTAACGAGTCAAAATTAATGATTTAATGAAATCTCAGTTGCAAAATTACTTAGGCAATGTTACAAACTCCTTAGGCACAACAATTTAAAACAATAACAAACATGCAAGTAATGACGAATGCACTTTAACAATAATCCGCGGGTTAATATTTAGAAAAGCTTCATAAGAAATCAATTTCAGATTTCTGAAATTGTATTATTCAGGTGAGGAGAGAGGAGGCGGGTGGGGCTGTGACGGAAAACAAAATATGATTTGTTTAAGAATTCAGAAATTGTTTTCGGGTGAGGAGAGAAGGGACGGGATGGAACTGTGGCCGGCGGGATGGGGTTACGGGACTGGACGGCAAGGGTTTAGCCGGCGGGAGGCCGGCGACCGGTTGGCCGGCGGCAGTTGATCTGGCCGGCGACAATGGAGGCAGCGGACTGGTGGCTTTGGGCGGTTTGGAGTGTGCGGCGGCAAGAGCAAGGAGAAGAGAAAAGAGAGAATTTTCGGGCTTCGACGACTACGGATTTATTCACCTCGCTTGTTTCCACCTTGGATATCCACAAATTAGATAATTTGAAAACGAGAACTCACTAAGAGATCAAGTTCTCTCCGGCGAACTCACTAAGAGATCGGGGGGGGGGAAGAACTCACAAAGAGAACTAAAGCAAATTTCATTTCATCTAAAACTAACTATTACATAAGAAAAGGGCCAATATATAGGCCTCAAAATGACAAAGAGAACAAAAGACTCAAATGCCCCTTGGGCTACAACAGCGACCAAATACCCATAAGGGAAAAAACGGGAAAACATAAAAATAAAAATAAGCTACTACATAAAATGATGAAAATATAGATCATGATCGAGGCCGTCGATCTCCGGCATCTCCGATGGTACATGTGTCGAAAATGCTGATGATGTCCTCATCACCGGCTTTAGGTAGAATAGAGGCGGAACTCTCCGCCTCTCCTGTACGCCACTTAGACCGCAATAGTCAAAAAAGCAGTTTAGGAAGAATTTTTTAGGCAGTTAGGAGGGAAATTTGAATGTAGGGACTGTTTAGAGTTTTCTTTTTGAATTGTATGCATTAAATAATTTGCTTTCCTAGAGTTAGGGCATATTGAATTTGGCTAAAATTTGAGATCTCTTACATTTAGGTTTTCTTTTGGGCTCTAGCGGCGTCTAGAGATTTGGGAGAGAAAGTCCTCTCGAATAGAGGATCAATTGTATCTTGATATTTTATGTTTCCCTTTCTTCAAATAATACAAATTATCTACTGCTTTCGTGGTTTTGTGCGGAATTTTGTGGATAATTCTTGTTGTTTTTTGAAAATTGATAGGAAATACTTGAGATCTATAAATGTTTCCTTTCAACTTCCTTTCATGGTAGTCTCCTTTTAATGATTTTTAACAATAATAAACGGGGAAGAAGTAGTTCCAAAGAATTTAGCTAAACTAATACAATACAAGCTACAATGCTACATTGCTTAAAAAAGAAAGAAGAGAAAAATTCAAATAGAGTAATAGGACCCTGCTACCTAGGCTACACTAAAAGATAAGTAGCCAATTTCAGGGACTGGCACAAACTCTTAACTCTCAGCTCACTTGAGTAAGGAAATATTATGGCACATAATTCTGAAGGAAATACCCTAGTAATTTAATGTGCATATAAAGTGAAAGAAGATAAAAAGCGATCATAAAAATAAAAATAAAAATAAAAAGATAAAAAGCGATCAAAATATAAGAAACAGGTTAAAGAGTGGACTGTAAGCTAGTATTTCCTGCCGTCAATTAGTAATGTAATTTTTTTAGTAATTTAGAATATCGTGTATGCCACACAAGGACAAGATAAAATGAAAATTCAAGCATGGAGGTTTACCGTTCATAAATTCAGCAAATAAATATGTCTTTACAGAACAAAAAGGCATATTTAAACCTGCGAATAAAACAAAAAAATAAAAAAGTAATGTTTGTATTTTACTACTTTTCATTCTTGCCTTCTTTAAATGATTTTATTTATCTTTTACTACTTATGATGCTCGTCTCCTTTAAATGATTTCTTATCAATGATAATTTCGTGAGAATATTCTGAAAAGAATTTTGTTCAACCAGCTAAATACATTAGGGTATAAGGAAACTACCCACCTAAGATCCACTTAAATACAGGGAAACCACTTTTAGGGATTGGCATCAGAACTCTTTATTGTGATCTCACTTTGAATGACAAGGTCCATACAATTTTATTCCAAAAAGCTGCAAAGTACGCTTAGTTCGAACTAGTCTTGAATAACAAGCACAACATGAAAGGAAACAAGTCGGAAGCATCTCTATGGTTACAGGGAAATTCATATCATCAACATCATTAACCTTTTAAAACTATTTCGGATAGAACTACAATCATTCTTCACCATTCTCTAGTGTACAAAGCTAAATTAGAGTTAAAGACAGTTTATAGAAAACTTTTAAGCTTATTTATCCATTTTCCTTGGTATTTTTCACATCAATTCTTTTATCATGTCTTTTTTGGTCAATGCTCTGCT